CTCTATCATATCGACACCTTTAGTAATTCATTTACAGTGCATTCTTGTAGCAAGTGTAAAATTAGCGTTAATTGTTTATTTTAACATTTTTTGTTCTATATTGCAGCATTTACATGGTGCACGATGAGCTCAAGGATAAGCAGTTTGAGCTGGAGTTGAGTTGGGTTGGTCAGCTGTCAGAAGGTCGTCATGAACGAGTTCCACCCACAGTGTTTGCAGAGGCTGAAAAAGCTGCAAGAGCGGCAATGGAGGATGAAAGTGATTCAGATACTGATGAAATGTGAACGCCTGCCTTGTATTAGATTTTAAGATAACGATAATAATAAACTGCTTTCTGTTTTCTTGTACAGTATGTGTTGGTAGTTTGTACCCTTATGATAAACATTTTTTATTTTCTTGGTAAACTTCCTTGACAATCCTTGTGAAGCAAAAGTTGAGATTGTCTACTGGTGAACCTTATACTAAAATGCATTTAATCGATTTTAAGCCGAACTCAAAAAAATAAAAGAAGAAGAAGAAGAAATTTAAGTGTAAGAAATACATTTGGTGCTTAACTCACTCAGACGACTGACTTATATACATATCAGAGATCATTGATGCTGTCCCTGGACTACTCAGATTCCTCATTTGACTCTTTGACTCTTTTGTCCATGAAAAAGTCATCTTCACTGCCGTCAAAAGATCTGATTGATAGCAAGAGTTAGAAAGGGGAGGGGGCCCATTATTCAATCGCAAGCTTTTAAATGTTGTTGACGCCATTTCCTAAGATCTCTGAAAAAGAATGACTGCTCAGGTTTGTGGCCAGAACCATGTGCATGTTGTGAGTAAGGCAGCATTGCTTTACCCCAACTCTCATTCAAATTTAATTAGAGAATTATGAATTTCAAATTAATATATGGGGTGGCTTCTTGCTGGTTTTATCCACACTTTAGGACCATCCATAAATTACGTAACGCAAAGCTGGAGTATTTTTAATACTCCCTCTCCCCTTCGTAACGCATGCTTGAATCCCCCCTAAATAATTATGTAAGCTTGCAATAGCCACATCTCCCTTGTAAATGCAAGAAGTGAAAATAAATTATTGCGCAGTGAAAACAATTTTTATTTATTTTACTTGCATATTGAAGTAATTAATGATAACTAAATTAGAAATTAGTTGGCGATACTGACTGCAACTAACAATAATAATAATAATAATAATTTTTTATTGTCATAAGCTTTGTAAAGCAGGCAATAGACAACGTGCAAGTTTAAAGAATACAATGTTAACCCTATTAATGCATATGGTGCACAATACAATTTCTAGGCCTATTAGACAGTTGATTACTGTCTTGTCTCTGAATATTTCGAAAAACTCCTGCATGAGTAGAAAGGAGTTTCCACAGCCACTCATAAAGATTTTTCTAAATTGGATTGGAGGCAATATCAGTTTAATCGCCTAAGGGTAACTTATACAGTTTTTACACCTAGTATTCTGGCTGTTTGCTGACTTAGTCTGTGACATTGGAACATCTTAGTTTCATACACTTCTGGTTCGCATAGAATGTACATCCTGTCTGCTAAGTGAAAGTCTGACAGGTGTTTTTTTACAGTGACATAGATACATTGGGCCGGATTTATAAATATATAAACTCTATTACTGGGTTAACAATTTCAAACTTTAGCGAATCAGTGGCTTGCAATTGGCAAGTTTATCAGATCAGTGATTATTCTTACTGCCTTTTTCTCGCAGTTTGAGAATGTCTTGTATGTGACTGGCAATTTCGCCGGCAGAGCAATATTCCCCGTGGAGATTAACACTCTGGAAAAAATGCAAAATTATGAACTTCTTAATGTAACTGTCGGGTAAGCAATGGTTCTTAGATTTTCTTTAGTAAAGAATATACCTGGAAAGCTTAGCAGCGATATACTTGACATGTGGCTCCCATGATAATTTATCATCCAAACGCACTATTGCCTAATAATTTTAACATTAGGCGAATTTTCACCAGTTTTGGCGGATCTCTTAGGGGTAAAACAGCATTTTGTTGGGTTTACCTTCGTTAAGTACAAAAGCCGTTTGTTTTGAAGCGCAGTTTATCAGCTATGGACATGGTGTTTTTAGTTTCAGTTTCGAGTAATTGAAATATGAATTGACATTTATAAACGGTGAGTATCGTCTGCATACTTATAGTATGCGCTGATCATGGGTGGGCAGGTCATTCATCATTAGGACAAATAACAACGGGTCTAGGATGGAACTTGAGGGACACACTTTCAGCTCTGCTTATACTTGACACCGCCTGCACTCCAAACAGACGATTTGTTTGCGGTCCCATAGGGTAAGATTTTAGGAAGTCCTAGACTTGTTCCTTTATACCATAATAATTCACTTTACTTATGAAGGTACTGTGTGATCTACACACTCAATGCCTAACTCAAATCTTCAAATGTTGTTGGTGGAAAAATCCTTCTTGCTCAACAACATTAAGCACTCTTTTTAAGTTAGTGTATCTAAGCCATCTACTGGTTTGACGTCCGCTTCTACTATCGGCATATTGTGCTTCACTGATTATGTGGGCCTGTTAACAAGATAATTGTTTAGTTTGTGAGTGCATTACTGATTCTATTATATTAGAAATGATTGGTACTAATGATATGGGTCTAATAACTTGTTGCTAGCTTGAGATCTCCTTTTTTTATAGATTGCACAACCTGTAGTTAATTTTAAATGTTTTGGTAGACCCTTCCGCTCAGAATTTGTTTATGCCTAAAGAGAGTGGTTCTGCTATAAGATTGGGGGGCAAATTGGTGAATGATAGGAAGGGCAGCTTAAGCAAGAAATAGTTGATTCACTAAGCTGAGTACAGGGTTGGTCATGGATGATGCAAGAGTGAGAGTCTACAAGACAATGTAATGAATTCTTGAATTTACTTCATATCATTTGAATATTTTCCTTATATTTTAATGTTTCAATACATGACCTCGAAAAAGAAATTATTTCAAATTGAATGTGAAAAAATGTGAAATATAAAATCAATTTTATAGGGTCAATTTTTGAACTACAAAAAGGGGGGAAAAGGTCAAGATTACAATCAGGTAAATATGGTGTGTCAATTTTTACGAACCTGAAATACACTTTTTGGGTCAAAATTACACATCATTTTTTAATTGCAGTATTTTGCATTACTTACGAAGTCATGAATTGTTGTAGTGTTTATTTCACTTACAGGAAAACTTGTAATGGAAAATTGGTTTACAACTAGCCAAAGTTAACGACAGCTCCTTTTGATTAGCCTGCTCATTCGGGGCTCCTCCTTAACCTTCTGGCTTTCTGCTTGAGGCCACCCAGCAAGCAAAGCTAGACACATCTCAGACTACAATGATGTTTCCCAGTGGTGTCTTTTCATATTCCGGATATTCAAACGCTCGCTCCACTAGCTGAAACAGCTTCATCTGTTGCAACATTCATATACGCTTCTTTCACTATGTGCTTCTGGCCCTTATGCTGATTTGTTCCTTGTTATAGTTACGAGAGATACTCTTGGGCCCTGAATTGGCTAGGTCGCGGTATTGGCATAAAGGAAAAGAAATTTATTTCCATCTGTAATGGTACTATAATAATTTTATTACAATAGTAAAACTGGTAAATACCTGAAAAGTATCAAGTTAGTGGTCAGTATTATCAATTCAAATAAATGTAAATCAACATGAGTCAGTCATTAGATTTTTAATAATCAGCCAATTAATAATATTGTTCTCTGAGTGTGTTAGTATATCTTCATATAAAAAGGTTACATCTTTGGCAATTACAGAGAAAAAATGATATAATAAAGGAAGAAAAACTTAAGTTTCAAATGGGCATGTCTGTCCATCAGAATGCACATGTTTAAGCGTTGGCAATTATTCAGCCATATGCAATATCATGATTTTTTTTTTTTTTTTTTTTTTTTTTTTTTTTGAGAACAACCAATCTTGGGCACACTGTACATCATGCAGGTGAACTTGATAGTTAGGCCTTAGCAGAGACTGCTGGGCTGAACTTGATTGCACGTTGCTACATGCACTTCTGATCGTTTGTGGACAATCAAAAATGAGTACAGTTTTCAAGACCAATGCTTGTCTTGTTATGTCATAACAGCACTCAGCTGAAGTTCTATCGCCCTTGATTATTCATTTCGAAGATGTCTCGTTTGATTGATTAGGTGGATAAATGATTGCAGAGATCAGGGAAGATTGTCATCAGAGGATGCTGCTGCTTACTATATGCTTACTCAGGAGACGCAATGAAATTGTATTGTGTGACTCATCATCAGCAAAAAGGAGTTTGGTACAACATGCATGGTGGCCACTTTCTGAAAAAACAGGAATAGCCAGGGACATTTTATTTCAGGAAATGAATGGCCACATTGTAGGTAGCTTGAAGGTCCATACTAAGTACAGCTGATGGCAACTGTTACTAGAGGGGAGACAGGTGCATGGGAAGATGGTTGTCAAGTGCAAAGTATAGATGCCTCACATGTAACACTCCTATGCCACTAGAAGATCAGGAACAATGGGATATGTGAAGAATGACACACAGTGAGAGGGAGTCACCATACCCAAGTTAACGGTGAACCAACATTCTCAAGCAGCATGCAATCTCGCAGCACATCTAAGCCAGCCTTGCATTGCAACTCAATTTGTATTAAAAAACAACACATTTTACTGACTTTTACACATCACTCTACTTACTTTTTTCTCCTTCACACAAAATTAGGAAGCAATTGCTCTAGTGATTCAGTTTTTGTGTAACATACCACATGTAATAATTTTACACTTCTGGACTTTGATAGTTATTCTTTACCATCAAGGACTTCATTGTTTCAAAATATGAGAGTAGAGGGACTTTGAAAGTCTTTCATTTCATCATTAATCTTCAGATGCAGATGATTCTTTAGTGCAGATCTCTGGTTTTACAATTGGCAGCCATTTTTACTTGTTGCTTAAATGAGCTGCTATGTCTAGTAAACTATTTGGCAGCAACTTAATACAGGAGGCAATCATTAAATACTTGCTGATTCAGTGAATGGTGTAGGTAATGCATTACTCTCAAAATGAAGATATTGGTGTTGACTGAATGCATACCATAATACAAGAGGAATTGATTGACTGATTGATAAGCACTGCTAATGGGTGCTAATAAATTACTACATAATAGTATGGTCTTAATGCAAATTACTTCTGAGCTTCCAGATTATGACTTAAGATTGTTCCTATTTAAATGTGTGTAGAAAGTAATTCAATTGCTCAACAAGGGTACCTAATAATTCTGATTTAGATTTCTATTGGAATTTTGATGAATTTCATTTATTGTTTTTGCAAACTGAAAAATGATAATTAAATATTATTCTAAAGTCAAGTTTTAAGTTCCTAGAATACACATACAAATTTTTGCATATTAAAGGAAACTCATATCATAGCATATTTCAACATTTTATGTGCAATATGTTCCATATTATATTGTTTTAAAATAATTCTTAGAAGTTAAAAGATTTGTGCAATGTTAAGTGATATAGATTAT